ATTTCTTTTTTCATACTTTAAGCACTGATTTTTTCTTTTTAAACACAAAATTCTGCTAACAATGACATGGGATTTAAGGTGAAGCACCTGGACAGAGTGTTCTCCTCGCTGCAGCTTTATTCGAATTGTTTTCTGACCGATACAGATACGCAGTATATTCTACTTCTTTGGATGATAATACTGTGCAAAAATCCATTCGACTTGAGCAGGCTCAACTTGAAGGACGGCAGTAAGACAGATTTGGTGGAAAGAATAATCACTGCTGTATCTCCCTATTTGCATACGATTACCAACAAGTGTCAGGTATGCGATAATATATCCCAGTTTTGACACTTCCTGCTTAAAATTTCGCTTCTTCCCCTCCATTTACTTAAATGTAGCTTTTTTTGGTGTTCTATTGGTAAATTCAGCAGACAGACTTTTTTCCAATACAGTTACCAGTTAGGCATTGATTTTGATAAATGTTTTCATATAATCCCGCACATTTTGGCGAAATTTTGCGTATCTCGGCGAGTTTTTTTGCTGCAAGGGCTAATTTCTACTTCGTTTGGTTCAATTTTTCATATATTTTTCCCTAAAGCCAAGTTAAAGACTTTTACTTTCATCGTGGGTAAATGTGAGCGTTTTTTGTTGTTGGCAATAACAGAAATAGTTGGCATGCACTGGGAAGTTTGCCTTACCCACGAAACTTTTGGGTTCGTTCCGCGTTGCGCATTACTGCACCGCAGTAGTATCGAGGCGCTGCCTTCCGACGGTACTTTAGTTCTTTGGTCTGCTGCTGTATATGGCATGGGTTTTCAACTGTGCATCTAGCACCTTATTTGCTTAGACCATTGCTGCATCGCTTGTTGCGTCGGCTAACGGCGATCCTGCTATCTTTTTAAGAAATTGCCCAGCGCAGCGGTTCTCCCGACAGAAACACGCTGCAGTTAGCAATTTGAATTGTCATTGGTGTATGTTGAGCATCGCTACTTCGTCTCCAATTTTGCTCCTCTTAGACCACGACGAGGTATCCTACAGACTAGGGGGCTGTTTGACGATATCAAAAGCAATGTCGTTTGAACTCTTTCAAAATTTTGTTAATTTTACGATAAATCGTGCTGTTTTTGCACTAGTTTTTGCGCGTATGTGAGCGTGGGCTTAAGCGGTGATGTATTGTTTCTAGCGGGCCATGTAATACACGCTATGCCGTCTGCTTGGTTGCCGTTTTTAGTGGCTCACTTGCAAAAAGTACTGCTCGGGTGTGTTGAGTTAAGCAGGAGCCGAACCCGCTTATTTGCATGAAGAAACGGGTTTTGCCTCGTGGTGTTTTCAAGGTAAGGAAATGTTTCAGCGTGCTGCTGCCTTGCTGCTTGCGTTGGTGGCGACGCGTGAGGATGCTCGTAAGAAGTATCTGCCAGATCTCGTTAAGTCGTGTGTAGCTGTTATCGAAGACTGTACGGACACCGGCTCCGATAGCACCAAGCTTCTTGGCAGCTTGCATCTTCTTGTTGCGATTTTAAAAGAAGTATATGAAAAATGATTTTTGCTTCTTTTTTCAGTGCAATAGCTGTAAAATTGTAATAGTAACAGTATTAGTTATGATGTTATTAGCAATAATGTTAGCAGTAATAATACAGGCTGATGCGTTGTGCATATTTGTG